AAGGGTATAGCGACGCGAATTGGATATCCGATATTAAGGACTCTAAGTCCACGAGTGGCTACGTGTTTACACTAGCCGGTGCAGCCGTTGCATGGAAATCCTCTAAGCAAACTGTGATAGCTAGATCCACGATGGAATCTGAGCTGATAGCCTTGGACAAAGGTTGTGAAGAGGCTGAATGGCTACACCATTTTATAGAGGATATTCCTAATTGGGAAAGACCGGTACCTCCAATATGTGTGCATTGCGATAGTCAAGCCACAATCGGGAGAGTACAGAGTCATATGTATAATTGTAAGTCTAGACATGTGAGTCGTAGACATAATACCATTAGACAACTACTCACAACTGGTGTTGTCTCGATTGACTACGTTAAGTCAAAAGACAATATAGCGGATCCGCTAACCAAAGGGTTAGGAAGAGAAGTTGTGGAGAAGTTGACACGAGGAATGGGTCTAATGCCCTTGGACTAAAAAAGTTCTATAGTGGATACCCAACCTAGCTGGCACCTAGGTTCAATGGGACAACTAAATTATGGAACGGAGCGCGTCACTGTGGGGGTCTCGGACTCCTTACCACTCCTCGTTAAAACAGTGACTCCCGCAAGAGGCTAGCATGTTAATGCTTTAATGATTCTTGAGTATGCGGGATACTCGAGAAAGAATCACCTATGTTAGAGAGAAGTGAGGGTCGCTTCAAAGGAGAATTGTTGGGCACAATTCTTTAGAAACTCTCGCAGAACCAGGAACGGTGACCCACGACCAAAATGGGCACACTCATGAGAGCAAGAGCATGGTTGGGAGATTTCTTTGTGAGATATGTCATTGTCTACACAAACGGCAGTCGGTTCAAAGACATCGCGTTCTACCGTACAGCCAGTAGAGTAAACATGTCTTCACGAGGGAAGGTTCAAAGGGTATAGTGACTCCCTACCTTATCCTATGCAGGGATCGACCGTTTGAACACAGTTGTTTCCGATTTCAAAAATACATCGAAAATCAATTTTTCATTCATGTGGGGGATTGTTGGAAAAAATAGCTTAAAATGGCATGTTAAGTGGCTATTTTGTGGTACAATTATCAGTGGGGTCCACTTCCGATTTGGGTCGGGTCAAAGTGGATTCGGATTCTTCGTAGTGAGACGAAGAGATCGATATATTGTACGCTCAAAACGGATAATGGGTGAATGAGATATTGATTCTCAAAGTAGACCTATTTGAGTTGGAAAATGAAGGGAAAAAGTGAGCTTTTGTCCCACATTGCTTTGGAATGAAGATTTTCCCCCCTTATATACAAGAGCTCTTTTGAAGCTTGTAGAATTGTATAGCATAGAGGCTCTCTCGCGCGCGGGGAGGGGGGGGGGGGTGCAAATCAAATTCCAACTTTCAGAGATTGAAAAAGGCTTGATTCAAGCCCGAGCTCGTGTGCGCCGGCACCTGGGGGCACGAAATTGGCTGGCCTTGCGGACATAAGTTATGCCAAACTTCGGTATCATTTTCCAACTGGTATAGCCACTTGGTTCGGGCAGAACCGAACCGAGAGCACAACTCTCGTGCAACAGAGTCCACGAGAGGTGCAAGGGCCGAAACTGGACAAGGTCGAAAGTTGAGACCGAACCCTGTACGCTAACGGTCTGGAACCCGAAAGTTCTGACTGTTGAGGCGATTGAATTCATCTGTTACGGAATTAATTGTCTATTAATTCCAATTTTGAATTCTGAATTCAATTCCCAGGTAGTGGCCTGCTGTTATAGCTGTTGGAAGGCAGCTTTAATGTCATTTTTAATTGCCATAATAAAGGCTATTGGCTCCTTCAACCCTATATAAGAGATGGTAGAGGCAGTAGAGTTTTACACACAGTATTACACAACACGAAAGTATAATTTTTCCAGCTTCAAAAATCTCTGCTTCTACTCCTTCTTAGCCATACTGTGTTCATAGCTTGTCTTGCTCGCCGGATTCCTTGTTTGAGTGCTCAAACATTGAATCACTAGCAAGTTTTATCCTGGGAAGCCTAGGCCACAACGCTCCTAGCATCTTTGGGAGGTGGCAAATAAGGTTTTAAGGAAAGAGTGCTCACTTGACTCTTGCAAAAACCCAACACCAAACACTAGCCAAATTTGTTCATCTTTTCTTCCTCTCTTTCCAAAAAATAATAGTCAGTTTTATTTGATTATTATTTGTTTTTCTACCAACGGTTCCTACAATATATACACACAAACTGAAGTTTAATGATGTAGCTTGTCAGATAATTTTGTTTGATGAGAATGATAATATAATACTTATAGCACAATATTTATACTAAGGGTTTGAATATGGACCAGCGTTGGTTTGATACTCATTCTTACCTAATATGAGATCAGATTTTGATAAACGTGGGTTGATGAAATTACTTGGACACAGTGCAACGATAATAATATTTTTGTTTGTACTAAATTAGAAATAGCAGTGGGATGAATAAGTGAATACTAGAAATCTAAGGAATAATGGAAATTGATGTTGTATTGTATTGGTTGGATCGATGGTGATTGGCGAATAGATTCTTCATTAATTCCTATATATATTCAACTGGGAGGCTTCCACACGTTAGTGGGTGGACCAGTAGGTGGGAACATTATATTTTGCAATTTGCATGCACACTTTAAATAATTGGACGCATTTAATTTGTCGGATATATAGGATGGTTTAATTTCGCTACGTTGGCAGCGACACTACTCACAAGTAGCATCCAGAAAACAAAAGAGTAGTGCGTACTTTACTGTTTTCAATCATGTCGTGTGGTCTAGATATTTGAGTTGACTTGGTTTAAGTTTGGTCTTTTGATCTTTGTTTTGTTGATTGATACCGCGAAATCACAGCTCAATATGTTCTTCAGATCATATCGCTCTGTCCCTTGGAAGATGCATGCTACTTCCATTCCTCATTTGCATAATTGCATTTCCAGTTTAATTAAAAGTTTTGCACCACGTCCTTTTCTTTTTTTTTTTTTTTTTTTTTTTTTTTCTGTAAATTACGTAGTGCAATATATATACTCAATATTTTTTCTTCGAGTAGTAGGTAATGTGCTTAAAATGTAGAGTTTTTACTTGCAGGATTTTTATTTTTATTTTTTTGGAAAAAAGGAAGGGTGAAATTTCAAGAAACACAAAATAGATCAGTCACCACCGACATAAGGAACCTCAATACAATCTTTATGGACACACGTCGCAAGTTTGGCGTTTGGACAAAAATACGTACAACAAGGCCAAGTTAAACTCTAAACCATAATTCTTCACCAGCTAGTCTGTCACTTAATTTTGTTCATGCAAAACGTGACAACATTTGACATTCCAATCTATTTTGATCTAGATTTTGCACTCAAAAATAATATTGTTCAGAATTCCACCATCCTTAACGTAAAAAAGAGGGCCATTGATCCGGCTAACCACATTGACAGAGTCACTTTGAATAACAGTATTGGTAAAGGCCATTTGCCACGCAACTTTGAGCCCATTAAAACAGCCCAAGCCTTAGCACGCAATCCCCAAGGTTGAGCTGGAAACCAACGATCCATTCTCCACAATGGTTCCTCAAAACACCATCACAACCAGCAGTGTGGTCCTTGTCTTTGCTACTCTCGTCGATGTTAACCGCGATCCAGTCATCTTCCGGTCTGTTCCAGCCAAGGAGAGTCCTCCTTTACAACCTTAAGGTTCTTGTGAATATTGTAGGTTTATTCTACTAGGATGTGATTGATTTTTTTGGGGTGTACTCAAAACCGTTCAACACAGTAATTAATCTCAATTGTAGACATTTTTAATGAGTGGATCATTTGACTTGGAAATTTAAAACGGCTCGTCTGCTCCATACTCAAAATCAATAATTGAGCCATTAACGTTTGGACAGTTTGATTAAAGATAAACAATTCTCTTCCACTCAATCTCATTTACATGTTATTGGGTTGTGAATAGTTGATTTAATTTAAGAGTAAATACCAACGGAGGTCCTCTGACTTTGGTGGCACTGCCACTTTTAGTCCTCAACTTTTAAATCAACCACTTTTAGTCCTCTTACCTTTTGTTTCTAGCCATCTATGGTCCTTCCGTTAAACTTGACCATCTAATGCCGTTTTCTCAAGGATAATTCAGTCCTTTCATAATTAATTTATTAATTATTATGTTTGCCGAGTCATACCGAGATATTCCAACGTCGTTTTGGCACAACCTTCGTACTAGCTTTTGTACGCCATTTTGATTCACGAGCTGGTTTTGTACACGTTCATAGCTGGGAAACCATTGTTTGACTATTCTGATGAGGAAATTAAACACAATAATTAATAAATTAATTATGAAAGGACTTAATTATTTTTTAGAAAACAGCATTAGAGGGTCAAGTTTAACGAAAGGACCATAGATGGCTAGAAACAAAAAGTAAGAGGACTAAAAGTGGTCGATTTAAAAGTTGAGGACTAAAAGTGGCAGTGCCACCAAAGTCAGAGGACTTCCGCTGGTATTTACTCTTAATTTAAAGTCTGTATATATGTGGTTGTGTTCACACGTACCAGCTTTTTGAGTATGGTCTATGTTGAGTGAGAGTGTAGTGGACGTAGCAATCTCTTTGATATTTTGTCCCCTTGGGATATGATTAAAGCAAAAAAGGAAAGGAAATTCATTTGTCATTCCAAGGAAATTTCATAACCCCTTTGACGGGTAATGCTTTCTCTATCGCAGTCTTTGTACTGGTCGTGCTTTTGAATTATTGACATCTAGAGCGCACGTAGTAAACGGACTTTTTTGAAAAGCAGAAAATTAAATATACATGGAGTACGTCTAATTAGCCATACTAGCATAATTCATTCACTTGAAAATATGAACAATATTTAACCTAATAACGTAAAACAATTGATAAACGGTGCGGATTACTAATATAATTCTAAGATCAAATTTAATGATTAACTAACTTTGGTATTAATAGACTATGTTAAATAAGAGCTTTGCACTTGCATGACTTGACTTGGATTTAGATTAGTTTCGCCCACACCCTGACCCGACGCCGTTGGTACGTGAGATTCAATCACTAATCATTCTTTTCAAGTTTGAGCCCTATGACCAACTGAGGTGTCCATGCGAGCTAAATTAATTTCACAGTGATAAGACTATTGGATGTTGTACAAACATATGGAGGCATTGCATTTGATTTTTGTCATTTATAAATAACTATTCCATACATTTCATTTTATGTGTCTTGTTTGGTTAATGAGGTCGACTTGACATAAGTTATTTTAAATTCAATTTTTTCATAACATGAAATTTAGTATTAGTATATAAATTTAATTTAATTTATATATTTAGAAATTACATTACAAGTACTATAAAACACAAAAATTTAAATTTAAAAATAATTAATTAACACTAATAAAAAATAAGAAAAGAAGAAATAGTTAATTTGATAAATGAATAGTAAACATGATAGGTAAAATATGACAGGTGGAGTACTTATTTGATAGTGCTGTATACTAACTATTTTGACTCTGTTTGGAGCATAAAAAAAGTTTTTAATATAATATTCACTAGCATTGTTGTTAACATCGTCGTCAATTGTATAGTAGATGGACCAGGACTATGTGGTCTAATGGTATCAGGGTTGGACTTCCATTTGGAAGATTATGAGTTCAAGCCTCAGTGGAGGCGTTATTGGTTCTTTGTGTTTCAGTAGGTTGAGAAAGTATATGAAAGTATATGAACAGATACTACAATGTAATAGAGCCAGTAACTTTCAAAAAAAAAAAAAAAGTATAGTAGATGGAATCAATTCTATATTATAGTCTTCTCCGGCCGTATGTATAGTATATATTGTTAAACGTACTAATTTAACCCCCGGTGCACGGCACGGCATGATGGAGTTGTATATATAGAGCTCCAAGTTAGGCAATTAAGGATACATAAAACACAACACATAAAGCAAGCTAGCTAGCGAGGTAGCGAATTGAAATTAATAATAATTATTTGAAATATAATTAATATGATGAGGAGCAACGGGAAGCATGAAAATGGCAGAGTGAAAAGCGAGGATCGAATTGGAAGCAGGAAATGGGTTCCGAAGCGCATAATTCTGGTGCGCCACGGGGAGAGCTTTGCGAACGCGGATGTAAAGGTGTTCAGCACCACCCCCAACCACATGATCAAGTTAAGCCCAAAGGGCATCGCCCAGGCCCGCAACTGCGGCCATTTGATCAAGCAATTGGTCTCCCAGGAGGATGATGAGGATTGGAAGGTGTTCTTTTACGTGTCCCCCACTGCCCGAACTGTGGAGAGTCTGAGAGAGATGGGGCTCGCATTCCCCAAGCGTCGGGTGGTGGGCGTCAAGGAGGAGCACGCCCTCAGAGAGCAGCATTTTGGCAACTATAATGACCCCCCAGCTATATACCGGATTAAAGATGAAAGAACCACCTATGGGAGGTTCTTTTACAGGGTTCCCGGAGGTGAAGCAGGCTGCGAGGTTTATGATCGAATTTCAAGTAAGTATAGTATTATATATTTTAAGCCCTGTCAAACAGAGCTTAGCTCCACTTTACTTTAATTTATAGCTAGAGGATCATATATATTAATTACTTCAATTCAATTGATCGAATTATATATATATATATATATATATATACATACATACGTATACAGGTTTTGTTGAAGGTTTGAAGAGGGATATAGACGCAAACAAGTTCGGGCGGGGGGTGGATGATGATGATGATCCGGCAATTCCAAGTGAATCGTCGCTGAACCTGGTAATCGTATCCCACGGATTCACGGCCCGCGTGTTTCTGATGAAGTGGTTCAACTGGACGGTGGAGCAATTTGAGAAGCTGAACAGAATGAAATCGTCAGAGTTTCAAGTGCTGCAGCTGGGGAAAGGAGGAGGAGAGTACAGCCTGGCTATTCACCACGACGATGCCAAACTCATGGAGTGGGGACTTTCAGCTGAGATGATTGAGGACCAAAAGCGGAGAGCCGCAGGGGGGGAATTGGAACACAAATATTGCCAATGGGACACCCACCGTTTTCTGCACCTCTTCAGAGATTCATCAGATTCCGAGGATGATGATGATGAGCAAAACGCCCGCAGTTGATCGAAATCCAGGCAGGAATTTACGTTGATTGTTGATGTGGTATTGTGGTGTCCGTGTCCCTATACCTATTAGCTAATAGCTGCTAGCTTCTAATAATAAATTTACCTGCTGCACTCTGCTGTTGTATCTTCCTTCAATTCACCCCTATTATTCAATAAACTTGCATCTTCAATTCATTTTATTTTAGAGCACCCCTATTATTCAATAAACTTGCATCTTCAATTCATTTTATTTTAGAGCACCCCTATTATTCAATAAACTTGCATCTTCAATTCATTTTATTTTAGAGCAATCCCAATGTCGTAAAGTAATGTAATGGTTACATGGATAATATATACTCCGTATTATTTATCAATACAATGTATTTCTTTTCTTTGCTTTTTTTTTTTTTAAAGAGATTTAGAAATTTTTTGAACCAAAAGAACAAATATCAATTACCTTCCCATGAGGATGGGTGATTCATGAGTTCCATGATACAGATCAACATGCGTTATAAAATATAATTAGACCTTCAGCCTTTAAAAAATTTCAATTAAACACATGAACTTAGTACAATTGTCCATCTAAGTCTTATTTACTATTATTTACTTCTTAACTCTGTCACCTACCACTAGGAGAGTGCAGCGGAGGAATCTAATCGGTTTGGATGAGTAGAAGCTCAAACTGTTCGGATTTCATATTTTATTATTTAATTAAACCCAATTATGTTTTTAAATGTATACTAACCTTTCGATTTTATGTTCCTTCAATTCGGCCGGATATCCGAATAGAATTCAAGCAGTATTCATCAGAAAAAGAATTAATAAATTTTAACAAAAGTCTTGAAAATTGAAACATATATCATATTTAATATTTTGTTTTCATATTTTCAAAATTCTAATAAAGTGTATACTCCCATACTTGTATAATCATGTACTAAATTATTAATATATAAGTATATTAGCAACTTATTAATTATTATACAAAACTGAAAATTTGAAATACAAAATTACTATGTAGTTTAATGGTATCCGGGTTGGACTTTCATTTGGAAGATTATAAGTTCGAGCCTCAGTGGAGGCCTTATTGGTTCTTTGTGTTTCAGTAGGTTGAGAAAGTATATGAACAGATACTACAATGTAATAGAGCCAGTAACTTTCAAAAAAGAAATACAAAATTACTATGAATAAAATCTACATATTTACAATTTTCACATTACAAAAAATTTAGAAGCCAACTACTAAGTACTAAGTAATAATAGTATCAAATTATCCAAATTTCAAATCATGATTTACAGATTCAACATTCATGATTCATCCACAAAATATCAAGCCATCAAGCTATTATCTATATATCCATTTCCTATTACATTCCAAAATCCAAAACCTACTCTTCTTCTTTGAAAAGTTGAAAAAATTAGTAAAGTAAATAAGCAAGTAACATGAAATAATTAAACACTAGATAATTATAAAGTTCGCTCAGTAAATTTCTTGTCCATATCAATATTTGGATTAAGGGCAAATCGCTACAACAATTCTGGGTGTAGCTAAAAAAAATGCAACATCATCATGAACATTGAGCAACATATCAGCTTAATCATTCTTTTAGATCATAGGTGGAAGCTTCATTATTGCCAAAGGGACAAACATACTAAATTTTTTCAAATAGAAACATTACCAAATTTACAAAAGTGCACAAGGAGCTTAAGGCAACAACTTACAAAGTTACCAAGCCTCAAAATAGGAAGTAGTGGGCAACATTACCATTTACCAGTGCAAGGGCAGCAACTAACAAGTTAACAAGTCTCAAAAACTGAGGCAGAAATTAGTTGCATTTGACAAGACAATAATAATTAATTAATTTGAGACACATGTAATATAAAGAATAAAATTACAGGAATTGTAGGCAGTGTAGAACCACTAGTCTTCCCACTTTCACCATCAGCACTTGACTCTGCAAAATAAGAATTACAAGAATGTGTAAAAAAAAAAATTTACAGGAAAGTGTAGGAAATGTTACTTTGTTCAAATCTCTCAAATTCTTCCAGATTTTCCTCACTACATAATGGGGTATTTTGGTAGCCTAAGCCAATCCTGAATACAAACCAAAGCTTCCACAATTTTTGGAGTTGATGAACTCCTAAAATGATCTAAAACCCTCAGCTCCTAGGTGTACTGAAAGCAAGATTCTGAATAAATATTTGAGATTGGTATAGGCGTATAGCTAGGACATCCCTAGCAAGTTTAGAAAGAATAGGAAAACTTTTATACTTAATCTTCCACCACCTAAATATATCAAAAGAGTTTTTCTCTTCAACTATTACTTCACTCAAGTAAATATCAAATTCAATCTTTTTCTTACCCCTACTTTCTAATCTTTGGTTTTTATTTTTATTGTTATTTTGGACTTCAACTTGGTCGCCTTCCCAGGCGAAGGAGAAGGCAAACCAGTTGATCGCCTTCTCCAAATGCGACCGACGACTGTCTAGTCGCCGGTGATTATTATCGAAAAGTGTAAGAAATTTCTTCAAAATCTTAGATAACATGTAATTATAGATTGCCAATTGATTTCTGAACTTGCATGCTTGATGTTTCAAAATAATAAATTTATGAATTTAATTGTAATTTTTGAAAGTTTAAAAATAACTTTTTGAATAAAATTCAAAGACTTATTTAACTCTTTTTTCTTTAATCAAAATTATAATTATTTAGTGAATTTCAAATAGTGACTAAAATAAGGCAACAAACCACCACTTTATATCCCAAGGCATTTTTTTTTGAACCAAACGACGGAACTCTTTTGGGTCTTGCCCAGCCCAACGCAGAATGCATTTTATCTCCAACTGGCTTCTCCTTTAGGAATCCATCATTCATCAATGGCAAACAACGAAGAAGAAGAGAGAACTCTGGAGGAGCAGTTGGAGCTTCAGCTACAAGAACAGAACGACTCTCTCCGCGACCTCACCGAAGCCCTCTCTTCCGATCCTTCCAATATCGAACTCCTATCGGTTCGCTTCCTTTTACCTTTTAGCCCCCTAACCTAACTAGGGTTTCATTTTCTATATTTCTCTCTGCTATGCCTATGCCTATTCTTGTAAATAATGTTCCATGACTTTTGTTTTTCATTGTTTACATGAACACCCACCCCCCCATTTAATCTTTCCCAACTTCTTTCAATTAATTAATTGATCTAGGCTGACTAAATTTTCAAGTTGCAACTTCTACTAATTTTGGAACAAATACAATAAGTTATTATCTCCTAAAACAGTTGAATTTAGGTGGAACAACCACTTTTCTCCTCATAATACCCTCACCCTTTTAATTGCCTAAAATGCTAGGATTTGGTATCTTTGTTCAACATTTTGATCTTGAGTAGAAAGACCTTTTTCTCATTTTCATTGAGAATTGAGGAATATGGTAGAATGCATACAAACCAAACCCAGGACTATACATCTGGAAGACATGGCACCAATGAATTTGTTAACTCTTGTATTCTTGTTAGGTGCAGCAACCTGAATGAAGTGGCTTAATGCAAGATAGAACCTTAACAAATATGGACACTATTTACTATTTCATATGGTGTTTACTTTTATGAACGTACGTATTATGCTGAATATAATTGTGTTGTATAGAAACGTAAACAGAACTCTGAAACAATTATATACTATAATGTTATGCATGCATTGTATGCCTGGCAGTTCACTGAACTGCATTGAGGTCATGTGCTGAAGGTCAGATTCAGACAACTTTAAGTTGCCCTTTTCCTTTTATCTTTTTTCTCCTAAATGTACCTTAATGTTTTTATTTATTTATTTTTTTTTAAATTTTTTTATAAGAACAATGTCACTTATTCTGATGCTATTAGGCGTAGAGTTGATATCATTGATGTTAAAATAGTAACACTGCATTATTGCTTCTGCTAGTTTTGCACACTGTTTATTCTTGATTTTTGATAATATTAAATCAGGTTCAAGAAGAGATTATACAGTCTATCAAAGAAGTGGAGGAAGCGCTACTTCACCTGAAACGCGCAAGATTACTAAGAGAAGTTGATAATGCTATACAAGGGTCCAAACATTTTTCTAAGGATGCCGAGGTTGAGCCTCTTGATTCAAAAGTTGTTGAAGTACATCCCTTTCTGGATCAAAATTATTCAGATGTTGAAGCAGAACCACATGCACTTGTGGATCCAAATTATTCCGTTGGATCAAAATGTAGGTTCCGCTCTACTGATGGACGATGGTATAATGGATTGATTTTGCAGCTGGAGGGTTCTAATTCTGCACTGGTTTCATTCCTGACTCCCACATCTGAAAGCATGCTGGTGGGTACAATTTCCTTTTTGTCATGTTTCTATGCTGCCATTTTTCTTAGCTTCATAAACATTTGTGGAAGGTGAACCTCTAAATTAATCAAGTCAATGATATGCCGGGTTTTAGTGGCTTTTTTTTTTTTTTTTTTTTTTTTTTTTTTTTTTCTCATTATTTAAAGGTGTGCCATAATATTAAGCTTGGTGGATCTCAATACTGTATATTGATCAAATAGATGCACTTGCTTAATAATTTGGCATGCATTGCCTCAAGTTGGTTCTTATATGTTATTTAAGGCCCGCCATTGTGATTGCCATACATGAAAATGATCACATAGAATATGAGTTGTGGTTGGTGTTAAGTTTGGAAGATTCTCATTGTAGAAAATAAAGTGATTACTGATTACATAATGAAATGTTACCCATTCCAAATAATGAATTCTAGATAATATATTGCATGGAATTTTGGTGTGTTTTCTGCCCCCAATCCCTACCACTCACCCAGTCAACCTTGTTTGTTTGCACCATATGTTGCTTTGATCAATTGCCCAAATTCCATCATATGTTCTACTTGTATGAAACATTCTTAAAAGTTTTGTTAAAGCAATAAAACATTTTAGGATGAGTTATTCTCAACATTGAATATCTTAGTAAACTATGTGACCTTTTGTGAATTCTAGCTTATGATGAGCTTTTACAAGCTCACCCTTTTCTACATTTGTTGGAATCATACAAGTCAACCCACTTGAAGTCTACACTTTTTACTTAGTATGCCTGTTTGAAGAGTGCCATTTTTCATGGCCTTAGAGGGCAGGCATACAAGAATTTTCCTCTCAGTTTACTATGTAAACAGCACTTCTATGTTAGTCACGCCTTCTTTTGTATTTTTAATTTTTTAATTTTTTGTTAGGTTTCATTTAGATATTGATGTGTTCATTTATCTTTTCAGTTTTTGACCTTTTTCTTGTCCATCTTTAAGTTTCTTTATGTTAATCATATCATTTTGATCCTGTAAAGTTCCACTTGAAGCTTCTTGAAAATACTCATTGCCTATCCTATGATGTTCTTTCTGTATATATGCTATACAGTTCTACTGGAATATGTTATCATATCTTTTGCTCCGCACTATATTATATACTTCGTCTTCATGGAGGTATTTATCTTTTCTTCTCTGTGACTTGTACTCTTAACCTTATTGAAGGATGGCATCCCCTTGCCATGGGACAATGGGCAATCAGGTTGGTCAAAAAGCATGTCCATTCTAAAAGTATAAAACTATATATAGCTTAAGTTATGCATATTAGACATCTTTTAACATCTTATTGTTTTACTGTATAGAATACTTAAAATTTAGTAGCATCATCATACTAATGATAGATCACCCAAGTGCAGATGTGCAAGTTCTTTCTAAAGCAGCGTTGTCGGTTTGGTAGTAGTTGCCGCTTATCGCATGGTATGTTGAAATGCAGAAGTAACCCTGACAAGTGGATCTTAAAAAATTTGGTTTAAGAGACGATGACTACACAGAATTGTGTTTCCATTTACTTGGAAAAGAAAAATATAGTAGGTCATGAAGTAAGCAGCAAAACAAAAAGGAAATTTGGTTTATTCAGAACTAAAATGGGTAGTGTAGAACTGTAGACTTTCTTCATGCAAACAGGGAATATGCTGAAGTTTCTAAAAGGTTCTAAACTCATGTCTCTGATACCACTAAAGTGGTGAGGAATGGTAGCATACTTTTAGACTGAGTAATAGAAATTTTTTTTGGAGCTTGCTGCAAACTATAATGTTATGAATAGAGGGATTTTTTTTTACTTCTAGTGTTTTCTTTTCTACAACAGATTTCGGAGTCTGGCACACTTAAATGTGTGGAATAAAATCATGCTTTATTTATAAGTTATTGGTGTAGAAACTTATAATTATTGGAATGTTGAATTGTTGATACTCAACATTGAACTGGTTTCAAATGCTTATATTAATGCAGCTCTGCTGATAATTGAATTTTTTGCTGTTATGATCCATAAAGTGTATAAGCTTACTGATAGCAAGTTGTTATCTCAGGTATTCATGTCCCAATATCTTCCCTAAAGAAGTTTGTCCCTACTGTATGGGGTCCATCAATGGTAGGGTCCAGTATTTGGGCTCTGGCAGATAGCAAGGTTGGCCTTTGGAGAGAAGCTGAACTGGAATCTTGGGACGAGAATCTCAAACTGGGGCATGTCGTATTCCGGGATAATGGAAGCTTTGTAAAACTTGGGGTGGAGTCTATTTCTCTTTCTGAGTATGCAGAGGTGAGTGATGAAGAGGAGAGTTGTGCAGGTTCTGAGCAGTGTGATTCTAGTGACTATGAGGAGGAGGATAGTCCACAAGGATTGGGATTTGTAGGAAGTACAAACCTGCAAAGTGGTGTCCAGACAGAGACTACACTTTTTGCTAAGTGGGAGAATCACACCCGAGGCATAGCTTCCAAGATGATGGCAAATATGGGGTACCATGAAGGAATGGGGTTAGGTGCTACTGGACAGGGGATGTTGGATCCTATTTCTGTAAGAGTTCTACCATCAAAACAATCTCTTGACCATGCTGTTGAAGGTCAGAAAAATGAAGAAGCAAAAGAGCATCATGGAAAGAAACGGAGTAGGGGAGGAAAGAGGAAACGCGAGAAAAGGTTTGCAGAAGCAGCACGGGCTGCAAAAGAGGAAGAGGAATCAAAACCAGATGTGTTCACTCTTATTAATTCCCAGCTTGCAGTTCATGCTGAAAGTTTAAATGGGAGGTGGTCTTCTTCGAAGAAGCATGAGAATAGAGGAAACGGAGGAGGAGAGGCAAAGAAAGAAGGAGGTAGGCGGGGTCTACTTGCTTATGAAGATGAGATAAAAGAGTTGAGGATGCGTGTGGAGAAACTGGAAGAGATGGCGAATAGGAACAGGAGAGAGAAAGTAGTTTTTGAAGCAGCTATGAGGAAACTGAATGAGACTCGGAAAGCTCTGGGTGATGCTGAAGCTGCTCATGCATCTGCTTCGAGCCAAGTTGTGAATAAGGAAAAGGAGAAGAGATGGCTCAAGTTTTGAAAGAATTGCTTGCTTTGCTTGCATGTGTGGTGCGGCTTATTTTGATATGGTATATGCAAGTGTAACTGTGTAAGCAAAGCCAGCCACGGCGAATTAGTTAGTAGGTTTAAGATTAAGTTTGATAGTTCACATTATTATTGTTATTGTTGGTGAGAATTGAATTTGATGGATAGGATAGGATAGGGATAGGGATAGGGATAGGGATAGGGAATGTAATGAAAACAGAGAATAAAGAGGAGATGCTTTACCCTCCATGGAAGTCAGGCAGGTATGAGATATGCCTATATTCAGACTAACGCAAAGCAATACTTTTCTTGATGGAGAGATGAGAATTGAAGAATCCCTCCTTGTCCCTGTGTAGTATAACTAAACTACACTTGTTATTGTTCAGATAGATCAGATCAGAGAGCACAAGAGAGACAGAGATAGGCGTGGATAATATCTAATAACAAGTCACAACAATGATAGACTGGGCTCCGGAGCTACTGGGATTGATTCTGTTTATCCTACTCTCCCCGGGAGTGGTTTTTCAGTTACCGGGAAACCACCGACACGTGGAGTTCGGCAGTTTCACCACCAACGGAAAAGCCGTCATCGTTCACACTTTGATTTTCTTCGTCGTCTTCACCATACTCATTTTGGCTCTTCGAGTGCGAATTTTCTTTGGCATGTGATGTCAATCTTTTTCTTTTTACTATATTCCCATTCCCATTTCTTTTTCTTTTTTAATTATTATTCAATTCAATACGTCGGGTTTTTATATAACAATTATATTCTGTAATATAATGGCAAATTTAATTTGTTAGTTGCCACACGTACTAGGATTCGTATTTTACTTGGAATTGAATAATGATTATTAATTGATTAGTACACTCACTGCCAGTGCCATGCATTTTTTTACTATCTCCGATCCGTCCGCACAAAACAACTAGGAAATAAGGGGTGTATTTATATATGCATGCACCTTGTTTTGAAAAAGTATGCGCCTTAAGTTTCGAACTGATACAGATATATCTTAAGTACTGAACTAATGCACCTTAAGTTTCAAACTTATGGACATTAAGTATTGAACTAATGCATCTTAAGTTTCAAACTTATGCACCTTAATAAATAGCTTGCCTGAGTGCATGACATTATTTACACATGTTTTGGTACCGGGGAAATTAAGAGAGATGTGATAATTATAGTGATTAGTGAAAGAGGTGGGCAGGCATTTATATACACGTACATTTCCATGAACAGAATCTCATGTGCTGATTCTTGTACCACAGAAATTTTGTAATGTAACAAATTGTATCTATCATTCTATCTATCTATACTGTGAGTCTGATTGCGATATCAAAAAGATGCGATGCGATGCTATGCTATGCTATGCTTCAATCAACTATATCGTGAGCAAATTGGAAACAAGTTGTAGCTTTATAGGTGTGTCACAGAGGCCGCAACAGCGGGTAATCTTCCAGAAGTTGTCGCTCTGATAATGTGTCATTTTCATTTTGTGGAGTCCATAACACCTCAACTGCCTGCAAAGAGGTTGGTTAGTCACAAAATGAGGTACAGGGAGAAAAATAGGCCACCCATCAGTTCTCAATAATGTCTTTTACTTTGCTTACCAGTGTTCTACTTGAGGGAATAGAGGCAATATTTTGCAATGCTTCCTTCAAATCTCCACTGCCATTAATGGTAGGCAGCTTATAAGCACCTTCAGCAGCCACCAAGATAGTTACCTGAACAATAAAAATAGTAAGAACAAATTGATATTGAGAACAGGAGAATTGCATAGCAATGAAAACAGGATTATTATGCAGCATAGCAGTTGATGTAAAAATAGATCATACAACACAATCACGGGGGCTGGATGCCTGAAGCCAAAGCAGATATGATGCTTTTCTTTTTGTATCTTAATGGGAAGGTGCAGCAGTGCAATTCTTAAGATTCCTCTTCAGTCTTTACTGATTGCTTAATTTTAGAGGCCTATTCACCCACTTTATTTATTTTTATTTTATTTAATTTTCCTTCTAGTAACCCTTCTCTACAATTAAAAAGTATATTAAGAATTTTAATCCTTACCACAATATATTCATTGCTGAATGCATTTGCTCTCTGGCTCATCGAACTTTGCCTTTTAATGTTATTCACATTGACAAGTGTTTCTTCATCAAATTTACCACGCTCCTCAATTGAGAGCTGATTGAACCGTTTCTCACCTGCTTCCATGCTCTTTTTAACATCAACCTATATACAAGGTAGAATAAAGTATAAGGTTTAATACGCTCAAAAAGGGGAGAGAGGGGTTCCTAATGCATTGTTTTTAAAAGATGAGCTGTGAAAATTTAAGTGCAACCACTAAAATTTCAACAAGATAACACAACAAAGGGAAGAACAAAACAGTGATAGCCAAGCTAACAGGGCCTTATTGAACCCAAACTTAGAATAGAAAGTAAACACAGTTGGAGCTATGTACTTTTTTCATTATTCCACAGACCATTAATAAAATATGTTTTAGCAATGTCAATAAGGAATTAGATGGCTTACAAAAAAGAGTGTAATGTTGTTCAATTTGAACCACTGATCTTCAAGGATAGTAGTTCTTTTGTTTGCCTTATGTCCCAGGGAAGCTAAATGATCTACACATCTATCTGTTCCCTTCCCAGAAAGTATGTTGAATGTCAGGCTTCTTAAGAAGGTTCACCAACTCTATCGGTGCTGTCATTTTTAATTGCTCTTATGAGAGCTATTGCATCAATTTCTACATCAATATTGGAGATTTGTCTTTCTTTGAATAAACAGATCCCCTCACAAGCCCCCATAACTCAGCTAAGTCACTCTCTGTTCTGCTAATATTTACACCAACTCAATCGTGATCTCTAATCAATCCACCTGCACTAGCTTTGTGAGGGCATCCACGAACCTAACCATCTGGATTTAGTTTCAAGTGCCCATGACATGGAGAATTACATTTAATATGCTTAGGAGTACTGAACAGCTTCATGGAAATTTTTATCAAACCGGCTTTGAGCATGCATGCATGTGCAAATGTTGGGTGTGCCCTGTACAAGGTGTAGGCATGAGCGTGTTCTGTCATGTGTGTGCACGTAATTAAAGACCATACTTGACACTGTAGTATCTTTTTTGAGTTTTGGTGCCTTAAAATTTTTAATTCTTTCAGCCCCAACAAAAGAAAAAGAGAAAAATGATCACACCCCCACCAATAGCAGAACATCCCCCCCCCCCCCCCCCACCCACCCCCAAATAATAAAATAATAAGAATAATAAAGAAACAGTTCTAAAGTTTGAAAATATAATTTTGGGCCATCTTTGTCCTGGCTGGCTGGTGAGTGCCAAATCCCACAAATTTTTAGGGGCATTTTGTGGCAAATTTGGGATTGGATTTGTTCTTATTGTGTGCAAAATGCCTTGAATTGTAAATTGTGACAAAGGACCGACTTTGAGACATTTTTATGTTTCGTAGGGAAATAGGGCTAAAGCAAGGGTAAAATGGACAAAATGGAGCAAAAATGGAAAGGAAGCAAAAGTATGCTATTACAAGCTTTATTACGCACATAACAAGTCTCGTAATGCCCATGATCAGAAGCCCAGTTCTGCTATTACGAGCTCTATTACGCTCGTAAAGAGGGTCGTAACAAGGAGCATTAGAAAGTCAGTTCTGCTAATAGCCCTCATAGCGGAGAGCATCAGAAACCCATCTTTGCCACTATGAGCGGTGTTACACTCGTAATGGGTCGCGTAACAACCAACATCAGAATCTTGTTCCTGCTGTTACGAGGCACGTTAGGCACGTAACGAGCCTCGTAACACACTAACACAGGGGAATCCGGAACCTATAAAAGGGAGAAGTTAGAATTTTCAAAGGAGTTTTTACTTTTTCTAGGTTTTCCTTAGACTAGCTTTAGACCTCTTAAAACACTTTTAGCTTTTAATACTTGTCAATTTCACTTTACAATTACAAGATTTACTTTCAATTGCACATTTGGATCAAGGATTGAAGAATTTCCAATTCAATAGATAAGTTTCCCTCCATTTACATTTCTTGCAATTTTGTCTTGTGCTTTGATTAGTGCTTTATTATCTTGTGTTTATGATGGATTGTGCTTTCATTATTGAATTCCTTGTTATTTCATCCTCTATGATGTGTGAGTAGATTCCTTTGGAGGGTGATACGGATGTAGACTAGGGTTTTAGGCATTGTGGTCTTGAATTGGTTGACTAGGGGGGATGAGACTTGATGTGATGATGTTGATCAACATGATTGGGTCCCGATTAGGAAGTGACAATCTAATCTATGCTCGAGGGATTGATCAACCATGCTTGGCCTTTGATAAAATGCCTCTTAGCCATTTATGAGGCATTAGAATGTCCTTAAGTGCTCTAAGGGTGTAGAATGACCTTGAGAAATGCTTCCTTCTAGTTCATATGGCATCCTTCATCTAATCAATTAAATCTCTCCCTTATTCCCGATTCAATCACGGTATTTAATCCTAGTTGGATTTCCTATTCCCTGCCACCTTTCTTTTATTGTGTTATCCTATCTCTTTCTTTATTGCATTCATTATTGCACTCTTCAAACTCTTTGCTTGGGGTAGATATCCCATAGTAGGACTAGTACCTTGTGCTTGAGAAACAAGCCACTCAATTCCTACCGGTGGTCCTTCGAGAACGATACCCGTGTGAAGATACCCTCAACACAATCACACCCCCACTATACCACTTCCATCACTAGCCATGAATAATCAGACCCAAGGAATGGTGGGATACAAACCCTGGGTATTTACACCTGGGTCATTTTGTTATTTTAAACTAAGTATTTTTATTCTTAGTCCACCTCTAATGCCCCATTTTGTGAGTCAAGTTCTCAATCCCATCACTGTTTATTTTACACCAAACATAGGATTGCTAATCAGATCCTACCTAATCCCATCAAATCTTTACTGGAAACCATGATAACCCTTAAGAAGTAGAATAAAAACTTGTTCTCTCGCATATTCTTCCAATTTTATTTCACTATAGAAGTATGAGAAATACATTAGAAAATCACCAGTCCAAGATGAAACAAGGAAGTCACTTGTCAAAAAAAAAAAAAAAAAGAGTGAAAAGAAGTTACTTGCTCTGTTCACATTTCACAACAATAACACTTTATAAACCTAAATCACACATCACAATAGGCAAAAGATAAGGAACGAAAAGGAAGTAGTGCCACGACTTACAGATGAATAAGCTGAGATGCAATATTCAGGATGGCGAAGCAAGGCTAAAGTTGTCTCTGCGGCCAGAATGAAAAAGGTGCAAGTAATTAGTTATGCCACATACTACTGAATACAAAGTTATACCAAAATGAATATATAGCCAAAACAGGTAAAGAATAAAACTAGAAGGAAAACAGTATTTTGTACAGGGAACAACTAAGGAACTGAAAACAAACTTGAAATGCTCAATGAATACAATTACCTGTCAATACATAGCTTAATCCCTCTGGTGTGGATGTATCAGCTACTTCTGCAATCCGGTTCAAGTCCCTCTGAAGTGATCTACCCAAGCCCAATAAGCCAACCTGAAGAAAATAATGAACAAAAGCATTGTAAGAAAATGTGTCAATATTTGTGAAGGAGCGATTGGAGAAATGTGCAATGAAAATGCAGCCAACAACTCCACATTAGAGCAGGTTAGACCTATAGCATTTTGTTAGGCTCACATCTCTATTTGTCATTTCAATAAAAACACAAATGTTTCTTAGTCCTTAGCAAGCACATTATAAATTATAGGCATGAAGGCAATATTTTTGTATATATTACGGTAAAACTGTTTGCTTTTTCACATGATTCTACTCTGGCATTTTAGCTGGAACAGATAATATATGCATGCCTAAGAGAGAAAAGCCTCTAAAAATGTCCCAGCAGAGATGCAACAAGAAGTAGAAACAACAAGACTATCCCCTTTTCTTCTTCTTGTGTTCTGAGCAACCATGGAATTGAAGACAAGGCAATTCAATACAAATAAATGCAAAAAAGTTAAAACTATTAACAGCAAAAAAAAAAAAAAAAAAAATGTAGAAAAGAAAAGAGTATTTGATATAGCATACCTGCAGCTTAAGGACAGTTGTTTTGTCAGTAGCTGTGAGCACACTGCCCTCAGACCTGTCGGATAGGAAGCCAGAGACGAGAATGAAAGCAGCGAAGCTCATCAATATGAGAAAGAAACTGGAACCAACCCCAACAGCAGGACCTACGTAAACCCCACCTCCTCCTCCAAATCCAAAAGGGGAGGGGGCATAGTAGGGCGCGGAATACGAAAAGCTGGGGCCCGCAATCCGGGTGGAGTAACTCCTGGATGAGGATGAGGAGGAGGAGGAGGAAAAAGAGCGTCCGCCGACTCTGCCGCCGGATGCGGCCAACGCCGAGTTAGGATCGTACATTAAAAACAAACCGACAAGCAGGGCGGCCACCGCGGGCTTACGCAAAGCCTTGAGGGCATTCACAATACCTCTTGCCACAACCTCAAACGGGTGTCCATTATTATTATTATTATTATTGATTGGGCGCACCACTTTATTGAGAAGCTTAAGCTTAGCAGAATTGTGATCCTCCTGGGTGGAAGATTTAGAGTTGGCGAAGAGGCATTTGAGATTGAATTTCGAATAGGGTCTATGAAGCCTCCTAATGGTAGAGGGGGAATGTGACAAGGAGGGGCCCCCGTAAAGAAATCGAATTGGACTTGGGGGCTGCACTAAATGGTGGTTCCATTTGAGGTTTGATTCTAGCAAAAATGGAGCAATCGCCATCGCCATAAGCACCGAAGCAGAGGAGATACTGAAAATGGGTTGAAGAACAGAACAGATATTTTTGGAGGAGAGAGAGAGAGAAGAGTAGTAGAAAGAAAGAAGACCACTCTTCTCCAGAACCAGAAGGAGGGAAACCAAAGCTGTGGCCTCCGGGGGTGGGTGGCTCAAACCAAATTGGAGCCGAACGTGTGGGTAGATTTGAACCTCATCCAGTCACCCTTTAGATTTTTTTATTTTATTTTTTTTCTAATAATACTTCATTACTTATTAAAGAGTAAATACCCAAAATGGTCCCTCGACTATAGCTAAATTCACAAATTGGTCCTCAACTTTCAATTGTAACCAATTAAGTCCTTAACTTTGCAATTTTGACACGATTTGATCCTCCATCTATTTGACCATTTGTTGACCGTGATCGACGATCTCCAGAAGAACCTTCAGCTTCGTCGGAGCACGTGGAGGCCTCCAGGATGACGTTGCACCGGTTCGGAAACACGTCGTCTTCTTCGCTCTGGTACAAACTCAACTACATTGAATCCAAAGGGAGGATGAAGAAAGGCGACCGAATTTGGTAGATTGCTTTCGGCAGTGGATTCGAATGTAACAGTGCGGTCTGAAAATGCAACCAGAACCTTAAAAAACCGATGATGGACCATGAAAGTACATATATATCCTCAAAAATCACAGTCAACAAACGGTCAAATAGACAGAGGACCAAATTGTGTTAAAATTACAAAGTTAAGGACTTAATTGGTTGAAATTGAAAGTTGAGGTCCAATTTGTGAATTTAGCTATAGTTGAGGGACCATTTTAGGTATTTACTCCTTATTTAATACCCAATTTAATTCTTGACTATAATGATTTTTCTCAATTTAGTCCTAAATAAATTTTTGTGTTTAATTAAGTTCTCGACTTTGATGATTTTCTCAATTAAGTCCTTGTTAAAATAACTTGTTAATTTCACCTCTATTAATACCCAATTTAGTATTTACATATAATAGTTTTTACTCAAGTTAGTCTTCGACTATAGTGATTTTTATTCAATTTAGTCATTAAACATACTGATTTTTCTCAATTTAGTCCTTGATTCCAACAACGAGGACTCAAGGGTAAAATCATCAAGGTCGATAACCTAATTAAGCACAAAAAAGCGTTTAGGACTAAATCAAGAAAAATCACATATAGTCAATGACTAAATTGGGTATTAACTTTTACTTATGCTTAAATTAATTCCTGTGAAGGGTCATATAGTAAGTGAGTGGGAGTGGCTAATCCATTCTTAACCAAAGGTGAAGGATTTGATTATTGACTTCGGGTATGAAGTAACTTTAAATCTCCTGATCAACTGTCACATCCAAAAGAGGTATAAATCTTGAGTATACCCTATATATATATATATATATATATATATATATATATATATATATATATATATATATATATATATATATATATAGAGAGAGAGAGAGAGAGAGGGTAGTTCACGTGCGGCAGGGGCTTTAGGTGCGGCAGTGCGGTCAATTTCATGTCATTAGATTAGATAAATTCAATGAATCACATTCATCAAAGCTTCTCCGATATTTTCGCGCACGTTCTCACTCTACGCAAACTGCAAGGCTAAAGTCGTCATTGAGCACCAGAAGAGGGCAAATTATAGTGTTGTGTGTTTTATGTTCGTTATTGGTGCATTATTAACCTTACTCTGGTGTATTTGTGGATTCGTGTTGGTGTCTTCCCGTGCGGTCAATGCGGCCGCACTAATAGTTATACCAATAATACCATCCATGTTAGAAAAAGCACACCCAAAAAACATTCACAAATTAGATACGCATCACCAGGACGCATCATTAGGTATGAATAAAAACACCACAAAGTGTTCAGAAATACACCATTGGGGTGGTGAGTTATATGGTATATTTTTTGGGTGTGTTGTGTGTTTTTTTGGTGTATTTGTGCATTTCATTGTTGTGCTTTTCCTAACACTATTGGTGTCTTTTGTTAACACTGTTGGTCAATCAACTGATATAAATGACCACTATAATTACCATAAACTAACCGCTGCCGTTAAATTAAGCAGAATGGACGATGCTAATATGACCGCACCGTCGCACCTAAAGCCCCTGCCGCATTTGAACTTATATATATATATATATATATATATATATATATATATATATACACACACACACACACACTCATAGCCCCTTCCTTATACACACACAAGAAAGACCCTACCTCCACATTATCTCTAAGGTTATTTGATCAAATCAACTAAGCTAATTTGATTTTCAAGTAACATGTCCTTTTCACTACCGAAATACGCACATACATGCTTGAGTTTGGCTTAGCAATCCCCTTCAACTATTTAAACAAAATATAAACAAAACATTCTCTTTAAAATAAAAAATCAAATAATATTTACAAACTTTCAAAATATGAAAATTACAAACATTATTAATATATACTTTTTTTTTGCTAACTACCATGTAGTGTGATTGAATCCCAATTACCATCCTGAATGATAGTCATAGATTTGAAGCCATTACTACCTTATAAAGAATCATAAATATTTCAAATATATATATATATATATATATATATATATATATATATATATATATATATATATATATATATATATATATATATATATATATATATATAAAAGATCATATGAGAACACCTGTTTAGGTGAGAACAAATCATGTGCATCCATCTAATATTTTTTAATGTTGTAGATTAAATTAAGTGTGTGCGAACGCGCATTAAATGTGTGCAAACGCGATTAAGTGTGTTTGCACACATTTAATGCGCGTTCGCATACACTTAATCTAATCTATACCATTAAAAAATATTAGATTGATGGACATGATGTGTTCTCATGTTCTCACCTAAGCACATGTTCTCACTGAAACCCTGCCATGTATATATATATATATATATATATATATATATATATATATATATATATATATATATATATATATACACACACACACACATTACAAAAAAAAATAAATAAAAACATTTGCAAAAATTGTATACTTTTTACATTTTAATAATAAATTTAAATAATAATAATAATAATAAAATTATTATTATTATTATTATGATGAGTGAATTGATTCACATTAACTCAGTACTGATCGTTACAGGAGATAGATAAGAGATAGAAAACTAATCTAACTAACCCTGTACAATAGCTAATAGTTACAAGACTAAATCAAATACAATAAGACTAAGTCTAGTGTAACATAAATTGTACTAACAACATAATATGACTAACACACCCCCTCAAGCTGAAGGTGGTGAAGCAACAACATTCAGCTTGTCCCTCAAAGCAGTAAAGCGTGTAGTAGCCAGAGGTTTGGTGAAGACGTCGGCCAGCTGATCCCTCGTAGATACAAAACTGACTATAAACTCTATAGTCGACACCTTATCCCGTACAAAGTGATAATCAATCTCCACGTGTTTAGTCCGAGCATGAAACACTGGGTTCGCGCACATGTAAGTAGCACCTAAATTGTCGCACCACAGAGTTGCGGGTGTACTGGATTGTAGACCCAGTTCCCGAAGAAGCGACATGACCCATGTTACCTCGGCTGCGACATCGGCCAGCCCCTTATACTCGGCTTCAGTAGATGACCTAGCGACCGTACGTTGTTTGCGTGACACCCATGAAACAAGATTCGTGCCAAGGAAAACAGCATATCCACTAGTAGACTTCCTGTCTATAGGACACCCGGCCCAGTCAGAGTCCGAATAAGCGTGAACATCCGCTGACGGAGAAGCTGTTAAACGTAACCCATAGGTGAGAGTACCCTTCACATATCGTAGAACCCGCTTGAGCATGGCCCAGTGCTCGTCAGTAGGAGCATGCATAAACTGACATAACCTGTTGACAGCATAAGATAGGTCCGGCCGAGTGATGGTAAGATACTGCAGGGCCCCGGCCAGCCTTCGATACTGTGTTGGGTTTTCATACGGATCTGTAGACGGAGAAACGGCTTTAGTAATTGCCGCTGGAGTGGAAAGAGGCTTACAGTTAACCATGCCGGCACGGGTAAGAATGTCATCCATGTACCGGCGCTGTGACAACAACAAGCCACCGTCTACTGATACTGTCTCAATGCCAAGGAAAAAGGTCGGAGTCCCCAAGTCCCGAATCTTAAAAGCCACTGATAACCGCTCAAGCACAGTAGTCAACAAAGCGGTGTCGTTGCCCATCATTATGATACCATCTACGTATACCAGTAGATAGATGCGTGAGTCCCCTGACCTGTAGTAGAACAAAGACACATCAGTCTTAGACGCCACAAAGCCTGTAGATAGAAGAAACTCATGTAAACGATGGAACCAAGCCCTCGGGGCTTGCTTGAGGCCGTATAGTGACCGCTGTAGGTGACAAACATAGTCTGGGTGCACCGGATCTTCATAACCAGGAGGTTGACGCATGTAGACAGTCTCGGTTAGACGCCCGTTTAGAAAGGCGTTGTGGACATCTAGCTGCCGTAGAGTCCACCCACGTGAGACAGCAAGAGAAAGCAAGATACGCACCGTAGTCGGCTTGACTACGGGACTGAAAGTCTAAAAAAAGTCCTCACCGGCTATCTGATTGAACCCCTTGGCAACCAAGCGGGCCTTGTACCGGTCTATCGTCCCGTCAGCCTTACGTTTGGTGCGATAGACCCATTTACACCCAACTATATTCATGCCAGGTTTGGCCGGGTGAGACTCCAGGTGCTGTTGTGTAGAAGAGCATTGAACTCTGCATCCATGGCATCCCGCCAGTGTGGATGTCCAACTGCTTGACTGTAACACGTCGGGTCTACGGTGGCCGTGAGGGCCTGAAAAGTCTCATCCGTGCCCCGCGTCTGATGACGAAGACGCATGACGTGTCCCCTTTCTTGGGGTTGCGCCCGAACACGTGCCCGAGCCCGGGGCGCACGAACCGGAACTGTGGCAGCCCCTTGGTGATCCTGGATAGCCATTGGTGGCACATGCACCGCTATGGGCGGTTCATCTAGCGGGACCGGTGGTGATATATGAGGTACCAGGGGCCCCGAGCCCCAAGGCGTGGTCCCATGCAAGTCAGCCGACCCCACCTCGCTTTGTGCACCTGTTGCATAGGGAAAAACACTTTCATCAAACCGAACATGGCGACAGATGAAGGTCTTTCCAGATATTTGGTCCATGCATCGATAACCCCTATAGGACGTTGGGTAACCTAGGAAGACACAGGGTGCAGAGCGATACTCTATCTTGTGGCGATTATATGGCCGTAGATAGGGATAACACTTGCACCCGAAGACCCGTAGGAAAGTGTATGGTGGTGTTTTGTTATAGACAGACTCGTAGGGACTGACATTTTTAAGTGCAGAAGATGGGAGACAATTAATCAGAAAAGAAGCAGTTTCAAAAGCAGAAGCCCAGTGTTGTAAAGGTACCGAGCTTTCTGCGAGTAGAGCCAGCCCGGTCTCGACAACATGTCTGTTCCGGCGCTCTACACGACCGTTCTGCTCATGCGTATAGGCACAAGATTGCCTATGCACAATTCCCAGTGTTTGGAACGTTGTATGCAGACGGCGATATTCGCCACCTAAATCTAACTGAATAGACTTGATAGAACGCGTGAATTGGCGTTCTACCATGACTCTAAACGACTCGAATATTTTATAAATATCTGATTTTAACCGCATAGGGTAAAACCAGCAAAAACGCGTACAGTCATCAACAAATAAAACGAAATAACGAAATCCCTCGGCTGAAACAACGGGCGCCGGTCCCCAAATGTCAGTATACAGAAGATCAAGTATATTATTACTACGAGAATAAACTCTATCTAACGGGAATCGAGAGGATTTCCCGAATTGACACGATGAACACAATTTTGCACTACTTGATCTTGACGGAGTGACCGGACACGAGAAGAACATGATGTTGAGCACGCTCATGCGGATGACCAAGCCTACGATGCCATATATCCGGCGTGGCACGGGCAATTATTAACGCAACTGGTGACCGAGACTGAGACAGACGATAGAGACCACTCGTGGTAGGACCCCTAAGGAGCACCGCCCTGGTTCGGCAATCCTTCACAACAAAGTGATCATAGTGAAATTCAAAATATACGTTATTGTCAATGGTAAACCGATTAACTGACAATAAAGGTAATGACAGATTAGGCACATGTAAAACATTATTTAATTTTAATGGCCTAGACACAGATTTTAACGATGCACAGCCAATATCAGAAATACCCAAATCTGAACCGTTTCCAACCCGGAGCACGTCATTGCCATTGTACGGCTCGGAGTGGGTATTCATGAAATATTCTAATCAAGCAAAGAAACATAGGATTTCTTCAAAGATTTTTTTTTTTATCACCAAAACACATTTACTCTTGATTAGTATTACATTTTTCAGTATAAATATTACATTTTCAATTTTTCATATTGACCCGACCCGTCTCACGGATAAGAATCCGTAAGACAGTCTTACACAAGTGTGACCCAAGACTACAAGACTTTTAAACATTTTACCAACTCTCAACAGACATCTGATCATCTTTTTAATACAGCTCAAAGAGTCCATTTTCATTTGTAGGTTTTGCTCAATGCGTAAGGCATAAATTGATAATCACTGTTAAAACTTAAAACATACCAAAAAGAATGTATACTTGTTTTTTTTTTTTTTTTTTCCCTACACAGTACACCTAACCAACTTTACAAGGATGAATGTGTGTTCCAACCTTTTATCATCCTTTCTCTTTTGTTCGTTAATGTACTGGAAAGTTGTACAAGGGTTGTTGTAATGGATTTTCTCCCTCCGGGATCTTGATCTACAATTGGCTGGCTGGCTCCAATCAGGTAAAATGCTGCTGGAGCTCCTCCCTCCCTCCCTCCCTCCATCTTCAAATCTGAACATACATTCTTTACTAGATAGATACTCTTCTACATACTGTTACAGGGACACATATTCTGATCCCGCATAAGGAAAAACTGTAATATAAACTGTAAATAAGGAAAAACAATGAAGCAAGCAAGCAAACATCACTGTCCTGATCCCGCATCAGGCAGAGTCTGGGCTGGGCGGTTTTTGACCTGATAAACCATCTTAACTTGCTTCTCATGCCCTGCTGCTGCTTTTGAGTTCTCTTGCTGCTTTGAGGAGTACATCCCTCCGCTTGATACTGATACAGGTTTAGTGATCCACCTAGGAGGCGGTGATGGAAGTGGACCAACATTAACATTGTTCACAAATGGAGGGGCCGGGGGCTGAATGTTAGACAATTGTACTGAATTTGGTACTCTGGGAGAGGGAGAAATTGCTGTATTTTGCTGCCTTGTTCTACCACCACCTTCAATTGTCAAGGCAGACATTCCACCCCTGATGGTGTGGGACTGATCTTGATGTACAAATCTATCTTGCCCCTTGAAATTTTGCCGATTACCCTGAAACTCATAGGGGGAGGAGGGTGCATATCTTGGAATGCCCATTGCAGTGCGAGGTGTATAATTATTATTGCCATATGAGTAAGAAGGATCATCATGAAAACGCCCAGATTGTACTGCTGGTCGTGGCCTGTAACCAACATGATTAGCTGCTGAGTTTCGATAACTAGTTTGATCATAAAACCCCCCTTCTCGCCCAAATGCTCCACAAGCTCTTGGCTTAATTAGCACATTGCTGCCGGTGAAATTTCTGGAGTCCGATGCTCCGGAATTTCCTCCATGCCCAATATTCAACGTGTTCTTGAGCAAGCGATGTGCAGCTTCTCCCAACGAAGGGCCAGCTATTGCCCCAGCTACAGGGGGCCTGCAGAGCCAAACATATCAAAATGAACTGCAGATCCTAGCACTGTAGAAATACACATGAAAAGGCCATAGCACGGAAAGGAACCAAAGTTTACCTATCTTTGCCAAGCTGGCGCCTGTAGCCGTGATCTTCATGCCATAGTGCAGGGAAGGGTTTTACATCAATATGTCTCAAAATCTGTAGCAGAAAAGTAAGGCTGTTTTCAAGTTCATACACTAAGCAAACAATTTACGCACAAGTGAAAAATACACTTTTTGTGCCTCATCTCATTTTCAATGTCCACTATATTTGGGGATGCCCCAAAATAAGACACTCCTCTCCCCCAACCCCACTTGCTCCCTCTCTTTGACAAAAACAATAAACATTTCAATCAGCAACCACTCAAATCAACTGGAGAACATTGGAATTTAACCTCGATCCAATTTTTCTTTCATACAGTCGGTACAAATCAATCCTGCCTTAATAATTTAATAAATACAGTATCTTACAAAATCAGAAGGGTTAATCAAAATGCAAGCAAAAGCAAGTCAACCATAAATTTGTCTCAAAATACAAACAGCTTCATAAACAGAATCTTAAGTAATTGAAGAGTAATACACTAAGATGTAACTTTCCTACATACATAGATACACAGACAAATACATCCAATCAAAAACATATTCATTTAACACCCCCTTGGACTGCCTAAGCAGTATAAAAGAGATTCATATCAGCAATGATAACAAACAATCAAACTCCCATGTTAAAATTATGTCACTTGATCTATTGTACTCAATCTTGACCTTTGAAAGGAAAAAGTAGCAAAGCGGATCCTGTCACATACCTTCTTAGGCATAATCACTCCATAAGGAGGCTTTGGAATATGCTTATGAGGAGGAGGATTCAGGAAGGTAATATTCCTAGGAAACAGATATTACATCCTATAAGTTAAGGGGATAAAACTAAAATTATTATATGGGAGGATTTAGAATGTGATATTAGGAACTTACAGAATTTTATTGTTAACAATGTCATCCAATCCATGGATTGGGGAAGGAACCACATTTCTCAGTCCATTTCTTTCAGATAACCAAAGGAATCCATTCATTCCACCGCTGCACACAACACCACCACCAAAAAGAGAGAGAGAAGGTGAACATAGAACCAGCAAATACATTAAATGACATAAATCAGATCTTTAAATTGTTAGCAACATTCAAGATGTCAAACCTTGTACTTGCATCAATTAGCCATGGCACTTGCTCCTTTGGAGGCGTGGAACCATTGTGCCGAAAGTAAGCCAGGATATATGGTGCCAAAGCATGTATAGGGTGGACATATAGCAAATCAAACATCATACTGTTCCTTAGTTGCTCTTCTTGCTGAAAATGATCAAATGAGGGATGAATAAAAAGCATAAAAGTATGTGATATTAATTGTATTCTCTTGCAGGCAACTATTCATACCTACCTAACTGCTTCAAACAGTTTAGAAAGGTTTCAATTCTCCATGCTCAATTTCAACATAAATGAGAATCAGAAGTGTATAATATTAAAACTAGTTACTTCATAATATCACAGATTCACAGGTTAAACAACAGAAACAAGGTTGGGACTGGATATTATTTATTGGAAAATGTATATCTAAAAAATACATGA